AAATTTTATGAACTCTATGTCTTTGATGAAGGAACTAAATTGAATAAACAAGGTAAAGGAAATGCTAGTATGCAAACTATTTCTCTTTCTTGTAATAATGAATTGTATTTAATGCACTATAGACTAGGTCATCCTAGCTTTTACTATTTAAAAAGGTTGTTTCATAATAAAGACCCTTCATCATTTCATTGTGGTATGTGTGCACTTGCAAAACATCATAAGAATTCTTATATCCCTCATAGTTACAAACCTACTAGTCCTTTTACTCTTGTGCATAGTGATATTTGGGGTGCATCTAGAGTTTGTACCTTGAAAGGACAAAAATGGTTTGTAACTATTATAGATATACACGGGTAACATGGTTTTTTTTATTATAGAGAAATGTGAAGTTTAAAATGTTTTCAGAAAATTTTACTCAATGGTTCAAGCTCAATTCAATACTAATATCAAAATGGTAAGAAGTGATAATGGCCGTGAGTATTTTTCTCAAAACTTAAACAATTTTTTGTTTGCTGAAAAAGGGATTATTCATCGAAGTTCTTGCATAAATACACCTGCTCAGAATAGAATAACTGAGAGAAAAAATAAGCATTTACTTAAAGTCCCTCGTGCAATCATGTTTTTAACCAAGGTTCCAAAACATTTACGGGGAGATGCTGTTTTACATGCCACCTATTTAATTAAAAGGATGCCATAAAAAACTCTAGGATTTAAAACTCCTATTGATACCCTTCCCACCTGCTTTCCTAAAACCAGAATTATCAGCTCTCTTCCTTTAATTTTTTTGGTTGTACAACGTACAACCCTGACAAAACAACAAGTAACAAATCGGCTGTTGGAAACCTGATTCGTAGCATTTGTGGAGACAAATCGAAGCAATAGGATGTGGCAGGGGCACAAGCAGAGTTTGCATATAATAATGCAGTCTATTCAGCTATTGGTCAATCCCATTTCTCTTTGATTTATAGGCAGCCCCTAGACATGCGTTTGATTTATCAGGATTTCTCAAATATGGATAAAGTGTAGCAGCAGGGATATGGCAACTCAAGTGCGTGATGTGCAAACTGAAGTTAAAGCAAGACTTGAAGCCAAAAAGGAGAAATATAAGAAAATTGTTGATCTAAAGTGGTGCCGGTAGTTTTTTAAAGAAGGAGACCAAGTGATGATATTTTTAAGGAAGCAGAGATTTCTTGTAGGGTCTTTCAACAAGCTGAAGCAGGGGAAATATGATCCTTACAGATTTTAAAGAAGATTAATGATAATGCATATGTAATTGATTTTCCAAAGACATGATATTTCCAAGACTTTCAATGTGGCGGATACGAGTCTCTCGAGGATGTACCTTTATTTCAAGGTCGAGTTTTTCATAGGGGGGAGGGGAGACTAATGTAGTAGGATAAGGCGCAACTGATTTTGAAGAAATGCTCGACAGAAAACGAGTTGCATGAACACGTGAATAACTCTCGCCTCAGTGCTCCATCTGAGGCCCGCAATACATCAAATCGAAGCTTTTGATGTGCTCTGTCAAAAAAAAAAAATTGTACGAAATGAGAAATGAACAAGCAGGAGTCAGGAGAGTACTTCTATTTTTTACATTTGTAATTACAAATAACGAAGCATGAAAGTTCCATAATATGAAAGTTGAAGAGTATGAAGTTAAAGATGATATCACATTTTTTCTATATTATTACTAGCTTAGAAGGTCCTTATTAATGCTTTTAAATATTCATTCATCCTACAAAAAGGCATGGTTATCATTTTTTATCAACAAATTGTTTAGCATTGAAAGTAAAAATATATTTGGATTGATTTTATGTTTTTGTTTGTACTTTTCTGTGGAGTGAGTGCGGACAAGAACACATAAGAAAATTTGGATACAAAAAAGGTTTGATTATTTAAAACCTTATTTATTTATGACTAAAATAAACACTTCATCTATTTATTATGATTACATAAATAAGTTATTTTGAAAATGTTCTTATTCAGGGAATCTTTGACTGTTTTTCATTTTTTTTTGTTGTGGTCCTAAATAAGAAAACAAGTAAAACATCATTAAAAAAAGATGGGAAAATAGAAGATTAAAAAAGTCGTCAAAAATAAAATAAAGACAATTAAGCTAGCTTGCTATGTTTGTATTAGCGCCATAAAATAAAATAAAAAATATCAAATTCCACATTTTATTGAATATAATAAAAGGGTTGGGCTGGCTGATGCAATAAGCATTTAGGCATTTTCTATGAGATGAAAGTTTGTAAACATTTATGCAGACATTAGGCTACACCGCCTAGATGCTATATGGTGTAATACTTTCATACATAAAATTTTTGCCCTACAATTTCACTTGTTTTTATAGTAAAGGCCAAACTTATATTTATGTAAAATAGATATTTGGGAGTACAATGGACAAAAAACTAGAAACAATCGTTAGACATGTTCAACGATCAGATATGGAAACAATCACCTTAACAAAAGCAACTTGAATAATTGATAACCGCTCAGATTTGAAGGTATCATTAATCACAAAGCCTCTCTTCCTTTTAAACAAATAGAAAAATTCAAAATTATCAACTAAAATAACTACAAAATAGAATAAATACTGTAACTAAGCAAAAACAATAATAAAGTAGCCAAGTAGGTCAAAATAAAAGATGAAAATCTAGATGAAAATATTTGTTATTGCGGAGAACAAAAGAGTTGTAGAGAGTATATATTTTTGAAGGCTAAGGATGTTTTAATTCTTTTGGTTTGTTTTCAGTCTCAAATCAGACCAGACTCTCATAGTTATAAAATACACAGAGAACAGAAGCTTATTAGACAAGACCAGTTCAGACCAGATCAGACCAGCAAATTTCAGTCCAAAAGAAAACATCCCAATTCTAAGGGCACCGGGATGCAGTGTTTTGGCGGCTAGGGCTCAACTTTTGCTGTTGTTTATGGTCGAAGGTCGATTGTTGACAAATAAAATGTGGATAAGCTGTGACGGAGTTTGGTTTCGTTTCAGCAGCAAGGGATGTCAAAGGAGGATATCGTCAATCAATACAAAAGCATGACTATTGAGACGGTTGAGTGGCGGGCGCGTCCCCCTCCCGAGGCCCGAGCCGCCGCCATGGAGTGCAAGTGAGTCTAGAGTTTGGAAGAAGATGGGTGAACTCTGTTTTAATCCCGTTTTATTCTGTTTGTGTTTTTCTTTCGAATTGCATGTTGTTTTGGACGTGTTCTTATTTCCTAGCAGAGAGATTCTGGAATTTAAGTCGGGTGATGAGAAGTCTGGTTTGCCAGTCATTAGCTCAGTTAAACCCATTACAAGATCAGCGAATCTTATTGCTTCTACAGAGGAGATAAATTCTAAGTCTGGTTCGAGGGCGGATGATAGACATGTTTTTTTATCAGCCATGTGACGAACTTTATGTTGATTTAATATATTTGTAAGTTTTGACGATAAAAAAAGTGCACCGTGATAGGACATAGGCCCAGGCACTCTGATCTAATAATTTGACGAATCCAATTTAGAAATAAGAAGATATCTAATTTCTCACCCGACCCGACCCGACGCCAGGGGGCGAAACCACTTGAATTGAAGAATACATCAGAACAAAAGGAAATCAACAAACTCGTTTTAATCACCATCAGCGATTCGTTGCACTTATTTATGTTTGATTGCCATCTATTAATAATCCAATTTGCTGTTGATAGCATATAGACTTGGACCCCCGAGTCTCACGACTATTGAGTCTGAACAGCGATCACACACGCTTACCAGATACTACCTCCGTCCCATAAAATTCTTCCCACTTTCCTTTTTGGGCCGTCCCAAAAAATTCTTCCCACTTTCTCTTTTTGGACAATTTGTATGGTTCATATTCATTTCACCTTTTTCTTACACAACCACAACCACACATTTCCACTTTATTCCATTTTCTTAATCTCCGTGCCAAGTCAAAGTGGGAAGAATTTTCTGGGACGGAAGGAGTAACATTTACATTATTGTACAGTTTTTATATCATTTGTACCTACTAGATAGTTATTTACATAGTGGGCTTATCAGACCCATATTAGCGGCCCAACCTGTTATCTCTATATACTAGTATAGTACCCGTGCGTTGCACGGTCAAAGAATATTCTCAAAGACTAATAGTTACTCCTTTCGTCCTTTTTTATTTAGTCCAACACTACTTTCCATGTCAATAATGTTCAACTTTGACGGAATAGATATTTATACACATGTTATATTGATAAAATGAAAAATATATAAAAATATTTTTAGAAGCATGATACACTAAGAGTTCGCTTGGTGCCCATATTTTTTGGCGTATCAAGCTTATCAGCAAAATTTTTCACAAAACACGTAACTTCTGATTTTGTGTGTTCAATTGTGTAATAATAGGAAAAAGTAAGGTTAATTAGAGTTACTTTTTTGACTGTATTGATTGAAATACAGTAGATAGTGATTCTAGCTATGTTCATATACGTTTTTCTTTATTTTATTAATAAAAAATATTTTAAATATAATTTTTTCATAAATCAACAGAATATGTGAATCTAGACACTTCAACCATCACTTCATAAATTTCAGACAATCAGCTGATTTATTCAATTTTAGTGCTACCAAATGGCCTTTTAGTTATGTTTTGGTATTATCTCATCTAGAATTGAAATGGTAAACTAACATTTGAATGTGTCAAGGAATGGTAGAAGAATTATAGCTTTTGTCTCACACCAACCCCGTTAAAATCCCCCTTCTAGAAAATTGATTTTTTTTTAAAACACATATGAAAACGGGTCTTGTGATTTTGAAAATAAGTAAGATTGAGGCTAAATAATTGATTGAAACTACCGTGATAATATACATCTATATTTATTTTATTATTAAACCATATTTGAAATAGGAAGTATGTTTTTATTTCAATTATTACATACTTATGTGAATGCCAAGTGTAATCCTAAAAGAAACCATATTCACCTAACTCGCACAAATTCTCTTTCAAAAGCTTGCAAACCTCCCCAAACACCCTATTCACCGAACTCAGCACAAATTTCTCTTTCAAAATAACCCTAATACAAAAATTCAGCAGCCACTACAATCTCGGCCTCCTCGAAGGCTCCGATTTCAATCGATTCCTCAACCGGTGGAAGAGCACATACTTCCGACCAATTCAGACGACGATGGAGTTCAATTTCATACTATGGCCCCGTAGAATAGATACAGCTTAGGAAGCATATACTGAATTAAGGATCCAGCGGCAGTAAATCGGCCAAACATAAATTCCACATATTTTATGCCTCAGCACTCCGCTTTACAACGAAACTAATAGATCCCAGACGCAAATTCCACATATCTGCTGCAACTAGGTCTCGCCGCCGACGCTGAAGGATTGCTGTCCAGATCCCACCGCCAGGCCTGGGCCATAGTAGCTCGACAGTCGCAAAGCTGCCGGAATTGTCATCGCTTTGCAAGCCTCCACTGTGTGCCGTAGTTCTCCGCCAGCCCCAGGTCTGCTCCGAATCTTGTTCTGACACTGGAGGCTCCCCACCGACGCAGCTCTACAGTCGCGGCAGCAGCTCACTGCTTCACCTCCGTGGCTCCGTCGCAGCTCGGCCTCGAGTCGTGTGAGCATCCACAAAGCTAAATAAGGGCGGTCTCGGTAGAGGGATTTCCGAACCACGCTGTTAGCTTCCGCCATTAATGGCAGTTTGAGAGCTCTGCTCACGAGCTGAGTAACAGCGACATCGAGGGTCCCTACTCCCTCTCCGACAGCGACCACGACCTGTGTGCCTCGCCTTTCCTCTAGGCTCAATTTGAGGGCACGCCCACCTCTCTCTTTGGTCTCAATATCCGGCACAGTGGAGTCTGACCGTGAACATCTCCAGGACTGTAAAGCAGAGGCTGGCCGTATAAGTGAAAAACAATGGGCCGAACCATCTTTGTGCAAATTCTTTCAAAGAGCTGGATTTCAACACACCAAATTTCAGCAACAGGCCATATTTTCAGCTCAACTCCAAAAGCTAAGTACCCCACAATCCAATACTCGTATTTACACATTAAATTAATTATTATTATTGTTGTTGTTGTTGTTATTATTATTATTACTCCGTATATTATTGCCACCATCATTATGGCGGGTTAAAATCCCCGAGATTACTAAAAATGCATTATTATTGATGTTATTGTTATTATCACCACCATTATTGTTAGCGGGTTAAAATCCTCCAAAGTGGTGCGAGTCGAACCCTAATCCACCGAACATCATTATTTGATGATGGCCCTAGACCTACCCCCGATCACCTTTATTTGATAATCGGGTGCGCTCAATGGCCTTCAAATTATCGCAAGCTAAGCTCCCGTTCATTTTTATTTAATGACCGGTTTGCTTCAAAAACCGTTGCAACGACAACGTATCTAGACCAAATTATTTATTCCCGCACATCTCTAAAGGTTGAAAAAGAAACACATACAAAAGTGTGTCACCTTGGCCCCCCACCGATACAATCCGGGAAAATGAAGCCAAATGACCACTTAATCTGGAACCTAAGACCCGCAAAATGGCCGAAGGCCCAAAAGGAGCGAAACGCCCCCCCACGATTATAATCGGGACAGTGCGGCAAGGCTCCAAACACTTTAAGATGATTCCAAGGGGCTCTGTAGCGCTCACAGAAAGCCCGACCCCAATGGCCCGTGAGGCCGGGGACGCCTTAAGGATACACCCCTGTCAGAGAAAATAAGGGTACACCCCCATCAGCGAAATGGCCTACGACACCTCGGGACGAGGCGCGGTAAACATCCCCTGGTTTCCAATGAGGGCAAAATAATAATAATAGAAAAGCAAAAAATCCAAGGGACGAGGCGCGGAAAATGACCCCTTGTCTGAGGCATGGATCTACCAAAAAAAGGGGGATACGGGACATGACTCATCGTTATTCCCGGGTAAAATAAAAAATAAAATAAATAAACGCACAACTCAAAACATTATATATGGAGTAATATGTACACATTACATGTTACTGGACAACTCAAAAATTATTTTATTATATTCCTGTAGGATGTCTATGAATATGGAATGCCACTACTCCGTATTAATTTGAAAGCAAGTACATCATAGATAATCATTAATTATACATTAATTGTTGGAAAGCTACCCAAATACTTGCACGAATGTTTATAGGTGTATATGTTTATTGAGAAGTTCAACGAATCCACTGTAATTATTATGTGCTGTTTTTTGTGCTATTCGAACGACACATGTTTTTTTAAGACTTTAACTCTATCAATAAATTTTAAAGTAAGTAAATATATGCCGAAAGTGTTACAATGTTCCTGCCCAAAACTTTCTCCCACTATTTTGTTATTATTATATATAATATATATATATATGTGAATATATAAAACGATGGACAAAATTAAACAAAATTACCTCTCGTCACATATCTTTTGGTTATTTTACACTTCATGTCACCTACTAGACAGTAGGCTTCGAGATACATTCCGAGAACTCCAACGTTCCAGAGAACTTGGTTCATGAGGACAAATCTCTCCATGCCATATGCTCTTCCCCAGGAGTTCATTATTGAGAGTATTTTTCTTTTTGGAATTTTCCCTCTCCGATCAACAACATAGCATGATGTGGTCTTGTGAAATTTTCTTTTTGCATACTTCCTATTGGGTACATATATATTCCCTAGTAAAAGAAAATGGAAAAATATTTAAACTTGCAAGTTATATTTAAATAATCAAATCTCAGTTAGTAGGTTCATACTATAGTGTCATTACCTCAGTATAGTCACACAAAGATTCGTGGTAATCCTCCACTATAGCCATAGGCCCATTCTTGAGCCTTTTCATTACTAGATCTTGTCCTGATATAAACTCATAGTCGTTCATATGAATCTGAAAAAGGAAATTTTCATAATAGAATCAAGAAAACTGGAAATTTCATTTAACAGATAATACATTACAGGGATTACAAATTTCTGGGCAATTCGAGAGTGCCAGAGCTCTCCAGGTTCTAACTGTCTAACAGCCTGTCTTTCCACCCCTTTTATTTCTTTCTCCCTCCAATTAACTTCCCAATTCCCACCTGTCTATTTATTCTACTCCTTCGTGTATACACCCTGCCAAACTATCTATTGGGATGTAATAAAAACAAGTACTATGAGTTAAATCATTACTTCCCACTTAAAAAAATACCTTGCCCTCAAGGTGGATCTAAGGAACTGCTTCTTATAAGTCTTCCCAGGAATCTTCAACTGTCTTTAGTGAATTGCAATCTCTTTCTTCCTGCATCTGTTCTGCATTGCAACACTTCTTCTGATTGCACATGTAGTTCCCATTCATTCAAACAAGCTGGAAGATGCTGACAAGGAATGTTGAGATTTATAGCTTTTTTTCACAATGTGAAAGACAGGGTCCACTAAACTGCTTTATGGTAAGTGAAAAAAGGCTATAAATCTCAACATTCCTTGTCAGCCTCTTCCATCTTGTTTGAATGAATGAGAACTACATGTGCAACCAGAAGAAGTGTTGCAATGCAGAACAAATGCAGGAGGAAAGAAAGAGATTGTAATTCACTGGAGACAGTTGAAGATTCATGGGAAAGACTTACAGCACTTTCAGAAGCAGTTCCTTGAAATCCACTTTGAGGGCAAGATGTTTTTTGAAGTGGGAAGTAATGATATGACTCGGAGTACTTATTTCTATTACTCTCAATAGAGAGTTTGGCAGAGTGTATACACGAAGGAGTAAAATAAAGAGTTAGTTAGACAGGTGGGAAGTTAGTTGGGGGAGAAAGAAATAAAAGGGATGAGAGGAGAGTGGAAAGACATGCTATTAGACAGTTAGAACCTGGAGAGCTCTAACACTCTCAAATTGCCCAGAAATTTGTCATCCCTGTAATGTCTTTTCTATTAAATGAAATTTTCAGTTTTCTTGATTTTATTCTGAAAATTTCCTTTTTTCAGATTCATATGAACAACTATAAGTTTATATCAGGATAAAATCTAGTAATGAAACGGCTCAAGAATGGGCATGTGGCTATAATGGTGGATTACCACGAATCTTTGTGTAACTATACTGAGGTAATGACACTATAGTATGAACCTACTAACTTAGATTTGAGAATTTAAATATAACCTGCAAGTTTAAATATTTTTCCATTTTCTTTTACTAGAGAATATATATAGACCCAAGAGGAAGTATGCAAAAAGAAGATTTCACAGGACCATATCATGCTATGTTGTTGATTGGAGAGGGAGAATTCCAAAAAGAAAAAATACTCTCAATAATGAACTCCTGGGGAAGAGCATGTGGCATGGAAAGATTAATCATCACTAACCACGTTCTCTGGAATGTTGGAGTTCTCAGGATGTATCTCGAAGCTTATTGTCTAGTAGGTGACATGAAGTGTAAAATAACCAAAAGATATGTGACGAGAGGTAATTTTGTCCACTGTTTTATATGTATCCATATCTATATATATTATATAATAACAAAATAGTGGGAGGAAGTTCTGAGCAGGAACACTTTATCACTATGGGCATATATTTATTTACTCTAAAATTTATTGATAGGCTTAAAGTTTTTAAAAAAAACATGTGTCGTTTGAATAGCACAAAAAACAGCACATAATAATTACAGTGAATTCGTTGGACTTCTCAATAAACATATACATCTATAAACATTCGTGCAAGTATTTGGGTAGCTTTCCTATAATCAATGTATAATTAATGACTATGTATGATGTACTTGTTTTCAATTTAATTCGAAGTAGTGGCATTCCATATTCATAGACATCCTACAGGAATATAATAAAATAATTTTTGAACATAACTTATTTCTAGAAGAGCCACTGTTTATAGAGTTTGCAACACATATTATTCATCCCAAAACCGGCTCCCAGTGCCAAAAAGTCTTGCTCTATCATACCATGAACGGCCTCCTGACCTTTGTCATGCCTATCTCAAAGACTTGCGCCTCAGTGCCGAAGTCTTGTTATAGCGATCAAGCTTGCTATTCCATTCTTGGATAGCAACCGTCGCTCTCATGTGATGATCGGCTCATCATCGCCTCGTCATCATTGTTCGGATTGGCTCCTCATGATCGCCACCCCCATATCACGACCGGTCTCTTGGCACGTCGTGAACTCGTGATTATCTTGCTCAAGACCGGTCTTAGCCATTCCTTTACCGGATGATAACCGTTGCTCAGATATTTGGACCTGCCCTTCGGTGCCGACGTCCTTGCATGACGGTAGGCCCTCGGCCTCAACGTGATCATTTACATCAAGACCGGTCTTTTAGACATTCCTTTACCGGATGGAGACCGTTGCATGAATTTTCGGACCAGCCCCTTAGTGCCGACGTCCTCACTTCACGACCGGCCTTTCGGCACATCGTGATTATCTTTCTCAAGACTGATCTTAGCCATTTCTTTACCGGATGGCGAATGTTGCATGGATTTTCGAACCGGCCCCTCAGTGCCGGCATCCTCACATTACGACCAGCATTTCGGCACGTCATGATTATCTATTTCAAGACTTATGAGGACCGTTGCATGGACTTTTCGACTGGCCCCCAGTACCGACGTCCTTGCATCACGGTAGGCCTCTCGGCCTCGACGTGATCATTTAGCTCAAGATTGGCTCCCCAGCGCCGAAGTCTTGATCTAGCGACTGGGCTCCGCCATCCCTTCCCAAATGGTGACCGTCGCCTTCACATGATGATCGACTCATCATCGCCTCGTCATCATTATTCGGACCGAGTGACCGACTTATCATCATCGCCGTCCACATATCACGACCGGCCCCTCGGCTCAGCGTGATTATTTATCATCAAGACTGGTTCCTCAATGCCGAAGTTTTGGTCTTGCGACTTGGCTCGCCATCCCTTCCCAGATGGTGATTGTCGCCCTCACATGATGATTGGCTCATCTTCGCCTCGTCATCATTATTCGGATCGGCCTCCTTGACACCGTCATCTGTATCTCGAGACCGGCTCCCCAACGCCGAGTGTCTCGTACTCGTTATAGCGATTGAGCTCGCCATTCTCCTCATAAATGGTGACCGTCTCCTTTATATGACGATCGGGTTATCATCGCCTCGTCATCATTATTCGGATCGGCTTTTGACTGGCTTATCATCATCGCCGTCCGCATATCATGACCGAGAGGATCATTTAGAGAAATTCCTTTAAATCTGAGTGGTACCTATGAAAGTTTCCCCAGTTTGTGAATAATTACGATAGTTTTTCAATTTTACCTTCAGATTTGGATAATGACGTGAAGAAGAGGTGTTGGGAACAGAGGGAAGGGCTGCCAGATTAGCCAAAATGTATTATATGTGGTCATTATGGTGAATGAATACATTTGCGACGAAACTGATGATGACATTTGTAGTCTTGAATGTAAATCAATTCTTTTTTTTATCTCGGATACAAGAATCTCGAGAACCATCCCCTTGCACTCCAGTAAAATTTGCAGGTACTGATGAGTGTTATTATGTGAAGGATAGTAGCACTAAATCTGATTTGAAATCTCTGGACCTTGATAAATCAGAGTTGTTGAGGACAAAACTCAACATTTCCGTGAAGGATGGTAGCACTAAATCTGATTTGAAATCTCTGGACCTTGATAAATCAGAGTTGTTGAGGACAAAACTCAACATTTCCGTGAAGGATGGTAGCACTAAATCTGATTTGAAATCTCTGGACCTTGATAAATCAGAGTTGTTCCACCTCCCGTCACATCGTTTTCTTAATGCAATGTTCCTCAAAAGCTTATTGATAACTTAGAAGTTGCAGGGTATGAAATTCCAACTCCTGTTCAAATGCAAGCCATCCCGGCTGCTTTATCCGGTCAAAGTGTGCTGGTATCTGCCGAGACTGGTTCCGCGAAAACAGGATCGTTTCTAATTCCTATCATTGCGAATTGTGTGAAAATGAATCTAGCTTGTCATGAGAGGAAGCAGAAACCATACAGTGTGGTTCTTGCGCCCACAAGAGAGCTCTGTATACAAATAGAAGATCAAGCTAAGGTGTTGGGGAAGTGCATGCCTTTCAAGACTGCATTGTAATATTGAAGCTAGCTTAGATAATAATTATCTAAGCTAAGGTGTTGGGGAAGGGCATGCCTTGGGGCAGATCTCCTTTCGGTCATTTTTGGCAGGCGATGTGCCTGTTATGGTTGCCACTGGGGTGTTTGGATCCCAGAAAATGCCATGTAAAGAAAGAAATTGCTAAACAAAGAATTCTTTTATGTTTTTTAGTTTTACGGTTTTACCTCAGGAAATGCAAATGGAAATGAAATATGACTATTTGTTTGATATTCTTTTTTACATATACGAGGTATTTTTTAGAATTACTTTTTCTTCATATCATAGGTATGAATAAATTAAATGAGTATCCGAAAAATGTACTGAATTACGACTATATTTTATTTTCTTCCTGTTTGCTCAGTTTTCTTTCATGTTTTTTCCACAGCATTTTCTCGGATCTGAACGGAGGACCCAATGACCCATAAAGACAGCACCTTCCCAATGGAAGGGATGAACTCCATGCAACAAGCCCGCCTTGGTGTTCCAAAGGTCAAATTCTCTTTTTAGTTTTTGTTTTAAGTTATTTACTTCTTGTATTTATTGATTGATTTGTGTCAAACTTTGGAAAGACGTATTGCTAGTTTCTAGTTAGATTTATGTCTCACGTTAGCTTTGGGTGGTGTAGGGACTAGATGGTTCACGGTTAGCTTTAACATGCCAATCAAGTGGTTAGTAAGTAGTTGTATTTGTAAGGGTGGTAGTGAGTCTTAGTGACTGTGTTTGTCAGTCTAATTAACAATTTTTAACATCAAATTATTATAATATAAGTCATTTATAATAAAAAAACATATTACTTGCATTAAAAGTTTGTAATGGAAGCCTCAAGGATAAAATTCCCTAAATAGGAGAAAGACATTGTACATTTTCTCAAATAGGAGTTGCATTGTCAAAACTCATACACTCTTACTTATGAAAGTTTTTAGTCTTTTATTCTTTTAATAGGACCAAATAAATCTGCAAATAGCGTAGCAGAATATTGGAGATATTCTGTTCTGTTGTGACTGTACAAATAGCTTAGCAGTTCCGGTGCTCTCCATGTGTTCAAGCTTTTGCAGGAGTTTGGAGAGGTTACAAGTAGGACTCTGAGAAGAACTGAACATAAATGTTGATACAGAAATTGTCCTAAATAGGACTAATGAGTTCCTAAAAAGCAAAAATAGGACTACTACTTTTTAAATTCCCTAAATAGGACTAAACATTGATTTTCTACACTAAATACCCCTAAGAGTATTAATTCATAATAAAATCATAAAAAAACGTAAAACATATTTAAAAAACGTGAAAAATTATAAAAATTTATAAAACATTTATAAAATAAAAAATTTAATTTTTTTTATTTTTTTTAAAAAATAATAAAAAATAGTAAAAACCCATAAAAAATGAAAAAAATTGTGGATACCTTTCCCAACGCCTCCCGCCGCCTCCCAGCACCACCACCCCCGATTGGTGAAATTTCTTCCACTTTTGGTAAAAAACTGTCATCTTTTTCTGAAAATGCCAAAAAGATGGCATAATTACTCTTCAATATGTCATCATTATGGCATTATTTAAAATGTTGGCATATTTTTCTCCGGTGATGGGAGATGGTGGTGCTGGGGGTGGCAGGGGTGGTATTTTTTTTTTTAATTTTACGATTTTTTTAATCTTTTTTTAATTTTTTAAATTTTTTTCTTTTTCTTTTTTAATTTAAAAATATTTTTTAATTTTCTATTATTTTTTTACAATTTTTAGTATTTTATTCGATTTTTATTATTTTTTTTATGATTTTATTATTAATTAAAACATTTCACAAGTTACAAGGGTATATTTGTCCAAACACACATAAATAGTCCTATTAAGGGAATTTAAAAAATGTAGTCCTATTTGTGCAATTTTGCCACTTTTTAGTCCTATTTAGGGAATTGACTCTTGTTGATATAGGCAATTTCGCTTTAGTGCTTTTAATTTAATCAAAAACCAAGAAATTTTAAAGCCTAATATGTATATCCAAGATATTGATGCTGGGGAGTGGGGTTTAATGCAATGTGAATTGGCAGTTGTTGAGCATGTAGAACGCATCTGCAAAATAACAATGAAAACAGAGTTCACAATTACATTGGGTCACAGCCAGAGATTTGTGAGGATGAGATCAATCGAACATATGGACTCAAATCCGAGAATGATCATAAAATGAATTATGCTACTGCCTTTTGATGATGGCTGCGTCAGCAGTGGATGCAGTTCGGTGTGCCTTCGACAGGAGGCCAGCATCGGTTGAGATGATGAAGCTTCTCATGGGGTTCTCTAGAGGACAGCCGTGAGGTTACGTTAGGTTTCTGGTTGTTACCATCTGCAGGCTGCTAATCATAAGCCGTGAGGTCATCTTCAAGAAACACTTGAGAAAGATGTTGTAGCCCTTTCTTCTAACTACTGGCACCTGCTTCCTGGGAATTGAAAAGGATGGTCACTTGCACAAAAAAGGGCTACCTCAAGAAACTGTTTCTCAAGCATGAGCCTTTAGCCTTGCAAAATGTGCCCTGAGGCTTGAACCTTACAAAAACTGCCCATACATCTAATGCTACCTCAACATATTTTTCACTGCCTCGCAGACAAGAACTTCAAAAACACCTTTTTAACAGCAAAAACTTTTTTGCCAATTCGTAAAAAGGCCTTTCTAAGAAAGAAGAAATGGCGATAGAATAGAGGAAACCGTATTATAATGTAATCTACAGAGCATTGTTTTACCAAAAAGTACATTGGCGACGGTTCTTGAAACTTGGGTGCATAATTATCGTTATTAGTGATTTGTTTTAAACTTTCATTGATTTTTGAAATGCTTCTTATTGAATGCCATTTATATAATTTGATGATTGGGATGACATCCATCTTCTGATATACTTATTACAGGAATCGGGTGACTTAGTTTTAAAGGATTGGAGGCTAAACGGAATGGTTAACGCCCCGCGGAACCAGTATTATCTCGGTATATAACTCAACTATCAAATAAATAAATAGGTTGAATAATATAGAAGCTTTTTTACCAAACATATTCATCATTCAGATAATTTTAATAATTAGATTGATCGAAACAAATATCTTTAAATTAATCTTTACAAGAGTCTACTTATTAACAAAATCCGTGTTTATCTTACTGTATTGAACAAGGAAGTTTGGCATTTGCAGTAAGTTGTTTTACTATTGTGGTGGTTGAAACCATTGAGAGTTGGATAAAAATCAAATACAAGAAAAAATTCAAATTACCCATTCAGGAAGTCTTGGAACATGTACATTGGAAAAGGAAATTGGGAGGACCTATGAAAAGTGTCAACGCAAAAAGGGAAGGTCTATGCTTCAGTAAAGATTATAAATTTACTGGGGAGAAAAAGATACAGAAGGTTTTGTTTTTATGATAGAACTCATATTATTAATCCTAATAGATAGTAATTATGATAGAACCCAAAAAGACATTAAACACAAGATTTCAGCCAGAACTTGTTCAAAATTCTTTTGGTCCAATGCTCAGTAACTATCTATTAGGATTAATAATATGAGTTCTATATCATAAAAACAAAATCTTCTGTATCTTTTTCTCCACAGTAAATTTATAATCTTTATTGAAGCATAGACCTTCCCTTTTTGCGTTTATGAAGACACTTTTCATAGGCCATCCCAATTTCTTTTTCCAATGTACATGTTCCAGGACTTCCTGAATAGGTAATTTGAATTCTTTCTTGTATTTGATCTTTATCCAACTCTTAATGGTTTCAACCGCCTTGATAACAAAACAACTTAGTGCAAAAGTCAAACTTCCTTTTTCAATACAATAAGATAAACATGAATTTTGTTAATAAGTAGACTCTTGTAAAGTTTGATTTTAATATATTTGTTATGGTTAATCTAATTCTTAAAACTATCTGAGTGATGAATCAGTTTGGTAAAAAAGATCCATATAAATCAACCTATTTAATTTTTGATAGTTGAGTTACATATGTAGGTCATCGGGAGGGAGATCAAGAACATGTCGACTTCGTTTGCAGCACGCAAGTAATAATTCTTCCTGATCATGACCTGAATTACTTGATTCCCTAGCCTCGTCATCGTGGCAAGAATTTATGAGGAATCCAAGGTATGAACGGACCAGAAGAAACATGGATCTTCTTGTGTTCAACGGGAGTGAAGCGTATGACTGGATTATTAAGGTGGAAAGATTCTACGCACTGAATCAAATTGGTTCCAAATTCCAATGGTGGGAGGAGCAATCGACACATCACACTTGGGAAGCCGTTTAAGGAGGCATTAATCACAAGATTTCAGCCAAAACTTGTTCAAAATCCTTTTGGTCCAATGCTCAGGGTGAGACAACCTGGTCAGTAATGCAGTAAAGAGAATAGTTCAAGCTAGTAGTAGCTCCCAAGTGACATAAGACATGACTGGCGCTTTTTTGTTATAAAGGAAAACCATCTATTAATTTGAACAAAGTGCTGAATAATAATGACATTAAAATGAGCTCAAATAGTTAAAAAGTATTTGTTATACGATCTGCATCACTGCATGTGTTGCTCTCTTTACGATTTGCACCAAGGACCTTGCCGTGCGGCAGATGATCCTGATCCCCAATTTTATGAGTCTATTTTATACGTATGACTTTATTATTGAAAAAAAGTAGCACCCACATTTATTGGATGATCAACAAATTCTCTCATTGGCTCTTTACTATTCGTTAGGGATGGATTGGGACAGCCAAATACTTTTTTTTTTTTTGTAAAAAGGATCTCTATTTTATTACACTGAAGTCAACTACAATGTCCAAGACCCGAAGAACAAATACAATTTGAGTCTACAACAAACATTACCTCATAAACATCAAACCCCAAACCAAATGAGCAGTCCTTTGTGATTATAGAACGTATGGGTGCATAAATCTGATTTAGGAGACAACAATCCAAGCAAGTTTAACAATGATGTTTTCATGACATGGAGTAGTGCCCTCTAGGTAGGCAAGGTTAGGAAAACCATATTATCTCTTCTAAACTAAATTTGCTTCCTTCAGATATGCAAAAGTTAAAAAATGTCTTGAGTTCCGTAGTTTGAAGCTCTACCCAACCAATACACCTATAATTTGTTAACGATTAATGATCTACTCCATTCAAGATTAAGCCAATAAAATAACCTAATTGCTAGAACTCTAATTTCCACCCAAAAATGTTATACACGAACACTACCCACATCAATACTAAGAATTTGAGACAAATATTCTTGACATCTTCTTTCAACGTGTGCGGTAGTGTATAAGATCTTCGCACCAGGCTGAGAATGGCATTGTCAAGCTTCCTTACGGGAGTAAATCTTCTGGGATGGAAACTATGTGTGACCGTTGTTGAAGGAGGAGGCGTTTTTCCATTTTTTTAGATGCGCATATTTTAATTCAACTGGGTTAGCTGGTAGCCAATGGACTAGGAGTGTTTAGGGAAGGTTAGGTTGTTAGTTCGTATTAATTTAGAATAATACATAGGAGCACTGTTCTAAAAATCGGCCTATGCGGACCGATTAATCGGCCTAGGCGGCCTAGTCGGCCCTAACTGTAGAGGCCTAATCAGCCTAGTCGGTCGAAAAATCGGCTTATTCGGCAAAAAATTGGCCTAGTCGGCCGCCTAGGCGCCCCTCAACTGCCCGACTAGTGCCTAGCAAGTTTTAGAACAATGCATAGGAGGGATTAATAATAGAAAATCATCAATAGGTGGGATATATTAGTGTGAATTTTTCCCTATATATATACACACAAATGTTCATGTCAGGTATAAGTAACCGGAGCAGCCGTCCGGCCACCACGGTTTGAGGGCCTTCCCGGTGGAATTTTTCAGTTAAATTTTTTGAGCATGTTCTTTATCAAGTCTAGTTTATCCATACCAAATTTCAGCTAAAAATTCAATCGAGAAGGCAGTCAAATGATTTTTGGAAGTTAACTGCGTTTTATATGTATATAAAGAGCGCATGTATCTTCCAAAAATCATTTGACTATCTTCCTGGTTTAATTTTTAACTGAAATTGGTATGGATAAACTAGACTTGATGAAGAACTTGCTCAAAAAAATTCATCAAAAAATTCCACCTGGAACCACCTCAAAACGTGGTGGCCGGATGGCGGTTCTGGTCAGGTATACTTGTCCGGAAGATTACTCTCTCTCTCTCTACACACACACACTGACACACACACACATACAAATTTTGGTTCAAATAAGAACACCCCTTATTGTATGAAGTGAGAACAAATCCAAGCCATCCATATTTTTTTGCCAACCTTCAATCAAGTAAATGTTAGTAAAGGTTATTTTACTCTTAGCAGTTTTTGTAACCGATCTTGTAAAACATATGATGATGCAACTCTTGTTAGTAAGTTTCATAAAATCTTGTCCGAAAACTACTTCTCAGAATGGTGTGGCGGAGAGAAAACATAAACCTATTCTCGAATTAACTAGGATCATGCTAATTGATTCTTCTATTCCTAGTAATTTCTAGGTTGATGCAGTTTATACTGCTATTTTTATTATTAATCGTCTTCCGACACCTATTCTGAATGGAGTTACACCTTATGAGAAAATCTTTAATAAAAGTCCGGATTATAATTTTATGCGTGTTTTTGGTTGCTCATATTTTTCAAATTTTATTGGTGCCTCTCATAATAAGCTATCACCTCGTTCTATCCACTGTGTTTTTATTGGGTATACCCCGGGTTACAAGGACTATCGTTGTCTATCTCCCTCTACTGGTCGAGTGTATGTTAGTAGGGATGTTATTTTTCATGAAAATATTTTCCCATACTCTTCTCTAATCTCCTCGAGTGTATCACCCGCACCAAGCCTCTCCCCTTCCTGGTTATCCACATCAACCCAACGGCCAAATTCTCCTATCCCAATCCCACTGCTGCCCTACACTGAATCTTCCACACCCACACCCATCCAATCGGCCTCCACACATAACACCCCTATCTAGACCCCTGCTGCCTTCCCACCAGTCTTTCACACGCCCGAACACTTTCCCAGCTCCCAGACTAAACTCCCAGACTAAACTCAACCGCATGCTGCCTTCTCCAGCCAGTAATGTTTTTACCTCTTCCGAGAGTGATTCTTCATTTGCATTTTCAAATGCCTTGGCCAGTGTCTCTACGCCTGTTTCAGCTCCACAAAATGTCCATCCCATGCCTACACGTTCCAAGGATGGTATTTTTAAGGGGTAATTACCTCAATAGGGGTAAAACATTAAAAAAGTTCCCATATAGGAGTTCAATGTTTAATACTCCCACGTAGGAGTAAAAGGTACATAACTTGACTGAATTACCCTTAATGAAATATAAGGTTCAGATTTATTTACAATTAATAAATACGTAGTAGAAAAATAAGTTAAAACAAACTAAAACCCTAGCTAGCACAACTCCGCCTCTAATATGTTGTTCAAGACCTGACGCCACCGCCTCTGTCCTGTGGCTCTGCCACCACTGTCTTGTGACTCTGCCGCTGCCGTCTTGTGACTCTGCCGCTGCCGTCCGGCGACTCTGCCGCCGCCGTCCGGCGACTGCCGCTGCCGCCGCCATTCGGCTAGTCTGCCACGGCAGTCCAGAAGACATGTCCTGGTGAGTCCGCCTCCGACGCCTCTGTCCGGCGAGTACGCCGCCAGCATCCGGCAACTCTGCCACCTCCGTCCAGCGAGTCTGCCACCTCCGCCATTCATCTAGGTAGTCTGCCACTGCAGTTGAGAAGAACCCACTGCCATCAACTCCAGGCCGCCGCCGCAGCTAACATCTGCCACCCTTGCCCTCCAGTTCACCACTTTGAGCATCACCTCCAAAATTGTCATCTTCATAAAAATGACATTTTGTATCTTCTTATTAAAATAAAACATAAAAGTATGGCACTGCCAGATAAAAAGATGACATTTTGATATCTAAAAACATGGCATTTACAGATATAAAAATATGGCACTTCCAGATAAAAAGATGACATTTTCATATCTAAAAATATGGCACTCATAAATATAAAAATATGGCACTTCCAATGATATTTCATATTATAGGATGGCACTCTAAAAATAAAAAAGATGGAACTAAAAATAATATTGCCTTCTGTAAAAAAAGTGATATTTCATACTTGATATAGTTATTTATCACCCAAAAAAATACTTGGGGAAAAGTGTCAAATAGGTCCTCGAACTTTCATAAAAAGGTCAATTAAATCCTTCTACAGGAGATTTTGCCCGGCCATCGCGATTTGGGGCAGTTCCCGGTGGAAGTTTTTGATGAATTTTTTTTAGCATCTTATTAACCAAGTCTAGTTTACTCATATCAAATTTCAGCTAAAAATTCAATCGAGAACACATTCAAATCAATTCTTGAAGATAACTGCGCATTTTTGCGTTCTCGAATTAATTTGAATGCGCTCCCGATTAAATTTTTAACTGAAATTTAGTATGAGTAACTAGACTTGATGAATAAGATGCTCAAAAAATTTCATCAAAAAAATCCACCGGGAACCGCCCCAAATCGCGACGACCGGACAGAGTCTCCTATAGAAGGACTTAATTGACTTTTTTATGAAAGTTCGAGGACCTATTTGACAGTTTTCCCAAATACTTGATATAGTTATGCCATAAAAATGACATTATTTGTCACAATGACATTTTCTTATTAGATAATGTGGCACTATAATTATAAAACATATATTATTGCCATTTTGATAAGGAAAACCAGAAAATGTTATTTGTTCCAACATTTTCAGATTGAAAATAAAATGTTTTTTTTTTAAAAATAATTTAGTAGGAATAGAAAAAAATGATTTAAAAATTTTGGTCCTATTCGTTGGATCTGGAATTTTTCACACCAAATTTTTTAGATCTCAAATAATGATTTCCAGTTCAAATCTAGATAAAAAAAATAAATAAAACATTTAATGGAGAATATCATATAAATCCATAGAAAGAAGAAAAAGAGAACATGGGCGAAAAGGAGGAAGAAGAAGATGACCGGAGAAGAAGAAGATGGCCGGAGAAGAAGATGGCCGGAGAAGAAGAAGAAACCGGAAAAGAAAACTAACCAATCGCCAAGCTCCGCCGTCTCACGATAGCCCAGCTTCGCCATTGCACGACCGCCCAGCTCTGCCACCACAGGAACCCATTTTCCGGCTGGGTTGTTCGATGTGCGCACATGAAGGTATTGAAGAGGAGAGAGGAGATGCTCTTGTGTAATTGAAAGAAGATAACCATTGAAGAAATAAACAGACAACTCATTAAATTAGAGAAGGGCAATTATGTTCAACCACATTAAAGATACTCCTATCTAAGCAATAAAAAAGTAGGGCTCCTATTTAGGAATACGGGCCTTGTTTTGGTCCTATCTTGGACCATTTCCCATATTTTTAAACCAAAACAAATTTTTAATCTCAGTGTTTTTTCTCCCCCGGATGATCCAACGTGTTTTACACAGACTAATAAAAGTGAGGTTTGGGGGGGGCAATGACGTGCACTTTGTCGTGAGTGCACTCAAAATAAATTTAATACTAGCACTTATACGTAGTATAGGTGAAGTAGAGTTCGTATCCACAGGGAAATGAATAATTCTCTTTTTATGAACTAGTAAATAAAGGGGGTTTTTGTTTGTTGAGTGATTTAATTAAATTAAACACAAAGATGAACGAGTTATATGGGATTAAAT